CACACACAGACACACACTCACACACACACACACCCAATCACACACTCACACACACACCCAATCACACACTCACTTACATACACACTTACACACTTACACACACTCACACACACAGTCACACACACACACACACTCACTCACTCACACACACACACACACGCAGAACACAGGATTCATATTTAAATCTAATTTTTGTGGCTTAATATTTACAGATACTAGTCCTTATCGCAATTTCATACCACTTTTGATAAATTCATCCAAAGTTTGACATTCCGTGTTATACGGTAAATTCCGTTTTTATGACTGAATTCTGTGGAATCATAGGGCCCTAAAAGTGGCCTGATTTTAACGTAGGTCCTGTTATTGTGTTCCCACACAGAGCTGAAGATTCCCGACAACGCCAATGTTTTTTACGCCATGAACTCCACGGCAAACTATGACTTTGTGTTGAAGAAGAGAGGTTTCCCGAGAGCAGGCCGCACCAAACACGTGGCCAGCTCCACGCTGCCCCGAATGAAGCAGAAAGGTCTGAAGATCGCCAAGGGACTCTTCTGAACCCCAAGCTCTGTCTCAGTACAGCAGCGCAGGAGATCTGTGTGTTTACAGTCATTCCCGGATCTCCAAACCCGCTCTGGTCTGTGACGTCTTCAGCTGTGTGCTGTGAACCACTGACCTCCGCTGGGGTCATCTGGCCGGTCACATGACAGGAAGTGACCTCAGTGTTGTTCCTCTTTACTACCGCGGTGGTGCTCAGGCCGACGAAACGTTTCTCTCTTCTTTTGTTTCATGCTTTCATTTCTCACACAGATGCCGAGTGACTCTGTCACTGGTGTAGTTGATAAAAGTAAGATGTCGTAATTTAAAAGCGAATTAATTTTCTTGCCACTGCAGATGGAGGAGGTGGTGTTTGTGTATAAATATGAGCAGTGCATAAGGAACAAGATGAACAGCGAACTCTGTCAGTTTCTAACGTGGGTTTAACAGTGCAGTCGCTCACTGTGACACTAATCATTCACGTAAAGCTACACCTCGGCGGCCCACATCTCATATCTCCAGTCCCTGTTTCCATCGCTGCACACTGACGTGTGAAACCCCGACCGCAGCATTTGAAATAAAAATGAAAGGTGTGAGGATGAGGGTTTTTCGAGTGTCAGCGGTCCAGAGATGTTGGCTGTAGTCGTGATAAACCTGCGCTGAGATCGGAAGAAGAGGGAAACAACTTCAAAAGTGAAACTGCACATGAATGAATGAGTTTTTGTACTGTTTTACCTGTAGTTCAGTGTTCGTTCATGACTGAATGCACATGCTTCACAACGCTGACCTGCCATATTTCCACACCCTGACTGTGTGTGTGTGTGAGTGAGTGAGTGAGTGAGTGAGTGAGTGAGTGAGTGAGTGAGTGAGTGAGTGAGTGAGTGAGTGAGTGAGTGAGTGAGTGAGTGAGTGAGTGAGTGAGTGAGTGAGTGAGTGAGTGAGTGAGTGAGTGAGTGAGTGAGTGAGTGAGTGAGTGAGTGAGTGAGTGAGTGAGTGAGTGAGTGAGTGAGTGAGTGAGTGAGTGAGTGAGTGAGTGAGTGAGTGAGTGAGTGAGTGAGTGAGTGAGTGAGTGAGTGAGTGAGTGAGTGAGTGAGTGAGTGAGTGAGTGAGTGAGTGAGTGAGTGAGTGAGTGAGTGAGTGAGTGAGTGAGTGAGTGAGTGAGTGAGTGAGTGAGTGAGTGAGTGAGTGAGTGAGTGAGTGAGTGAGTGAGTGAGTGAGTGAGTGAGTGAGTGAGTGAGTGAGTGAGTGAGTGAGTGAGTGAGTGAGTGAGTGAGTGAGTGAGTGAGTGAGTGAGTGAGTGAGTGAGTGAGTGAGTGAGTGAGTGAGTGAGTGAGTGAGTGAGTGAGTGAGTGAGTGAGTGAGTGAGTGAGTGAGTGAGTGAGTGAGTGAGTGAGTGAGTGAGTGAGTGAGTGAGTGAGTGAGTGAGTGAGTGAGTGAGTGAGTGAGTGAGTGAGTGAGTGAGTGAGTGAGTGAGTGAGTGAGTGAGTGAGTGAGTGAGTGAGTGAGTGAGTGAGTGAGTGAGTGAGTGAGTGAGTGAGTGAGTGAGTGAGTGAGTGAGTGAGTGAGTGAGTGAGTGAGTGAGTGAGTGAGTGAGTGAGTGAGTGAGTGAGTGAGTGAGTGAGTGAGTGAGTGAGTGAGTGAGTGAGTGAGTGAGTGAGTGAGTGAGTGAGTGAGTGAGTGAGTGAGTGAGTGAGTGAGTGAGTGAGTGAGTGAGTGAGTGAGTGAGTGAGTGAGTGAGTGAGTGAGTGAGTGAGTGAGTGAGTGAGTGAGTGAGTGAGTGAGTGAGTGAGTGAGTGAGTGAGTGAGTGAGTGAGTGAGTGAGTGAGTGAGTGAGTGAGTGAGTGAGTGAGTGAGTGAGTGAGTGAGTGAGTGAGTGAGTGAGTGAGTGAGTGAGTGAGTGAGTGAGTGAGTGAGTGAGTGAGTGAGTGAGTGAGTGAGTGAGTGAGTGAGTGAGTGAGTGAGTGAGTGAGTGAGTGAGTGAGTGAGTGAGTGAGTGAGTGAGTGAGTGAGTGAGTGAGTGAGTGAGTGAGTGAGTGAGTGAGTGAGTGAGTGAGTGAGTGAGTGAGTGAGTGAGTGAGTGAGTGAGTGAGTGAGTGAGTGAGTGAGTGAGTGAGTGAGTGAGTGAGTGAGTGAGTGAGTGAGTGAGTGAGTGAGTGAGTGAGTGAGTGAGTGAGTGAGTGAGTGAGTGAGTGAGTGAGTGAGTGAGTGAGTGAGTGAGTGAGTGAGTGAGTGAGTGAGTGAGTGAGTGAGTGAGTGAGTGAGTGAGTGAGTGAGTGAGTGAGTGAGTGAGTGAGTGAGTGAGTGAGTGAGTGAGTGAGTGAGTGAGTGAGTGAGTGAGTGAGTGAGTGAGTGAGTGAGTGAGTGAGTGAGTGAGTGAGTGAGTGAGTGAGTGAGTGAGTGAGTGAGTGAGTGAGTGAGTGAGTGAGTGAGTGAGTGAGTGAGTGAGTGAGTGAGTGAGTGAGTGAGTGAGTGAGTGAGTGAGTGAGTGAGTGAGTGAGTGAGTGAGTGAGTGAGTGAGTGAGTGAGTGAGTGAGTGAGTGAGTGAGTGAGTGAGTGAGTGAGTGAGTGAGTGAGTGAGTGAGTGAGTGAGTGAGTGAGTGAGTGAGTGAGTGAGTGAGTGAGTGAGTGAGTGAGTGTGTGAGTGTGAGAGTGTGTGTGTGAGTGAGTCTGTGTGTGTGTGTGTGTGTGTGTGTGTGTGCATGTGCTTGCTACCTGTTGTAATGTCTTTGTGTGTGTGTTCATGTCTTGTGTTTTATGACGACAAAACCAAAAGGGCCAAAGATCTCTGCTTGTTTCAGGAGCGTGTCAGTCCAGTGAGGTCAGCACTGCCTGTTCAGGAAAACCAACCCAAGATCTCTCAGATCGGATCTGAACACCCCAGATATCTGGTGCCATTTGTCTTTTTCACTGTCAAAAAAGATTTAAGAAAAAAAAGGGAAAAGATTTTATTATAACTCACACGCTCTGGTTTTGTATGTTCTTTTTTGTAATTTTTGTACAATATGAATTGTCCTTTGTACTTTTGCCTTTCATTTGGTTCGCGTGTGTGTGTGTGTGTGTGTGTGTGTATTTATTGATTTGTAAATACTTTTTGTAGCGGTGTACATTTAGTTTCTTCTCCCATGTAATTATGAATATGTAAATATGAATATATCTAAGCGAAGTTTATACCACTCCAAATTGTGTTTCTTTCAGTTCTGTTGACTTTTTTCTGTTTTCTGTTTGTCTCATCTTTTTTCATGGTTTAAATTGCTATTATTTTTTCCTTATGATGCACTGTTTCTAATATTGGCGAAAACAACTAATAAACACGCAGTGCGACTCATTTCTAGTGCTCCTCGTGTTTGCTCTGCGTGCTGCGTGCTGCGTTCTGTATTCTGCGTTCTGTGTTCTGCGTTCTGCGTTCTGTGTTCTGCGTTCTGCGTGCTGCGTGCCGCGTTCTGCGTGCTGCGTTGTGTGTGCTGTGTGCTGCGTTCTGTGTTCTGCGTTGTGTGTGCTGCGTGCTGCGTTCTGCGTGCTGCGTGCTGCGTTCTGCGTGCTGCGTTGTGTGTGCTGCGTGCTGCGTTCTGCGTGCTGCGTGCTGCGTTCTGCGTGCTGCGTTGTGTGTGCTGCGTGCTGCGTTCTGCGTGCTGCGTGCTGCGTTCTGCGTGCTGCGTTGTGTGTGCTGCGTGCTGCGTTCTGCGTGCTGCGTGCTGCGTTCTGCGTGCTGCGTTGTGTGTGCTGCGTGCTGCGTTCTGCGTGCTGCGTGCTGCGTTCTGCGTGCTGCGTTGTGTGTGCTGCGTGCTGCGTTCTGCGTTCTGCGTTCTGTGTGCTGCGTGCTGCGTTCTGCGTGCTGCGTGCTGCGTTCTGCATGCTGCGTTGTGTGTGCTGCGTGCTGCGTGCTGCGTTCTGCGTTCTGCGTTCTGTGTTCTGTGTTCTGTGTTCTGGTCTGATGGAGAAGCGCAGATACAGCACTGCTGTGGCCAGCAGGTGGCGCTAGAGCTCTGCACTCGCAGAAATGATGTTGTAGAGATGTAATATAACAGATGTAGTACTATAAACGCACTGCTCTTGTGTTCCACGTCTTCTGAAGCAACACAGAAAGAAAATGAAACAGTTCCCCTTCACTAAAGCACTGAAATACCATTTGTTTTCTGCATTGAGAATAAAAAGTTGAAAGTATTTGTGAAAGAACATGACACTCGAGTAGGCCAGGCCGAATGGAGAATAACATTTGAGCTTCATCAGAGGGACATTTATCTTATAACACCAGAAAACATTAATATATACGTATATAACATACTAGTGCGCTAAACTGTTGTTGTATAGAAAAGAGCTGCATTCAGACGACTTTTTACTGCAATCAAAACGGCATATTTAATCAAAGTGTCAGATGATGCTGTTGTGGGATTTTGTGTTTGCAATGAAATGATTGTAATCTTAGTTCAGATGATGAAGGATTCTGAAAGTCTGACAGTAATCAGTGTTGAGTTCTACTGTAAGGTTATTCCTGCCTGCTTTACAGGTTTGAGAATGAGTAACAGTGAGAAACCTTAAACACTTAGAGTAAGTCGAGAAGTGTCCAGTCAATGATCTGTGGTTTTGAGCATTTAATATTATGGTAAAGATTGTGCACATGATCCAGAGTGATTCCTCGGGTCCTGGCTGCTGTTTGTTTTTACACGTTTCCGCTGGTCTCCTGTTTGCCGAGAGCCACACGCGTTTTATTGCAATCGCGTCCTGCACGAAATGCTCTTCTTCTGATGGATCTCGGCCCGTGAGGCAGTCATCATCGTGACGTTATGAAGAGAAAAATCTCCACACACTGACAGATTATGAACAATTCAGAAAAATATGGTTGTATTTGTTCATTGCCCCACCATACAGCCCACAAATATCAGCTCATAAAGCTCTGATGAGGAGTGAGTCACACCACTCCGTTCACCTTTATCTTGCCTGCTTTTCATATTTCTTCCAACAGAATTACTTTTCCAGCTTTAGTCTTGGTTAGGTTTGGGTATCGTTTGAATTTGATCAATTCTGATTCCGATTCTTATCGATTCTCAGTTTCGATTCCAATGAGGTTAAAGAAATTATTTAGATATCAAACATTTATTTTGTCAAAACATTTAGTTGCTGCTGAACACCATGAATAAAAATCAGCCGGCTGCATAAAAACTGACTGGATTAAGAGCTGTTTGTGTGTAATATAGAGCGGCACGATTCTGGATAAATTGAGACTTGTTTTTAATGGAGGTTGTAGTTCTCTCACAATTCTGAAGAAACAATATTAGACAACTAAACAAAATCTGATGGAATTAATGAATGAATGATTCAATGACTCACTCAAGATTCACTCGGTTCGTTACAGGATGAATCAGTGTTTTTGAATGAATCTCTTGAATGAATGATTCAAAGACCAATACATTTTTAACAGCTCCTTTTCTCCAGCTAAAAATAAAAGATGCGCACACAGGAATGTCCGTCCATCCATCCATCCGTCTATCCATCTATCCATCTATCTATCTATCTGTCTGTCTGTCTGTCTATCTATAACACATTTCTGTCTATCTATCTATCTATCTATCTATCTATCTATCTATCCATCTATCCATCTATCTATCTATCTGTCTGCCTGTCTGTCTGTCTATCTATAACACATTTCTGTCTGTCTGTCTGTCTATCTGTCTGTCTATCTATCCGTCTAACTATCTATCTATCTGTCTGTCTGTCTATCTATCCGGCTATCTATCTATCTATCTGTCTGTCTGTCTGTCTATCTATAACACATTTCTGTCTGTCTATCTGTCTGTCTATCTATCCGTCTATCTATCTATCTGTCTGTCTGTCTATCTATAACACATTTATGTCTGTCTATCCGTCTA